TAATTGTTTAAAAACATAATGGCCCAAAGTAGCTAAAATTAACATACATTGTCAGGTTGAATATTAAGGAACTTTTCTGTTATTTGATTGATGATTAAGTGATATGTTTTTCATGTATATATGATTCTAAGCCTTATACTAGGTCAATAACGTAGATTTTTTTTTAATACATGACTATTGTGTTTTAGCTGTTAAAAGTCATGTAGAATGGATGGTTACTTCTCTGACATAAATATCTATTAGTCTTGTACAATTAATGTTGATGGAGATAACTAAAAAGGAGGTGTGCTCTTACCTGATGTAAATGTTAAAACCGCTTGTTGTGTTAAATATGAACTAATCTGGAGAAACAATATTTAATATGAAATAATTGTTGATATTAACAGTTCCCCTTATTGTCACTTCCACTTCTGAAAACCACTGGAATTTGTCATTTTAGAGTTTTGGCTGTATCATCCAAATGGTGCACATGCCAGGTTTAATTCATAACAGCAAATCCATCAAATGTTTTGGTCTCATTTGCAAGTTTGAGAAATCAGGACTAGATGAAGGCATTGCTCATAGTTTGGAATATGGGGTAGGAATTAGCTGTGCCACTCCAGGAGGAGCTAAAAAAGAAATTATGACTCAGAAGCAGTCCTTTGAGTCACAATTCCCTTAGGTCCTATGTTGTGTAAGTGGGGAATATAGTGTGTCAGCCCATTGCCAGACACAGCATGCTCCCTCCCTTAAGTCCAGTCAGCTCTAATGGCTGATGCATATGGGAGCAGAGCTATGTGCCTGACTAACCTAATTCCCTTCTATGATGAGATAACTGGCTCTGTGGATGAGGGGAAAGCAGTGGATGAGTTATTCCTTGACTTTAGCAAAGCTTTTGATACGATCTCCCACAGTATTCTTGCCACCAAGTTAAAGAAGTATGGGCTGGATGAATGGATTGTAAGGTGGATAGAAAGTTGGCTAGATCGTCGACTCAACAGGTAGCGATCAATGGCTCCATGTCTAGTTGGCAGCCGGTTTCAAGCGGAGTGCCCCAAGGGTCGGTCCTGGGGCCGGTTTTGTTTAATATCTTTATTAATGATCTGGAGGATGGTATGGACTGCACTCTCAGCAAGTTTGCAGATGACACTAAACTGGGAGGCGTGGTAGATACACTGAAGAGTAGGGATCGGATACAGAGGGACCTAGACAAATTAGAGGATTGGGTCAAAAAAAACCTGATGAGGTTCAACAAGGACAAGTGCAGAGTCCTGCACTTAGGACAGAAGAATCCTATGCACTGCTACAGACTAGGGACTGAATGGCTAGGTAGCAGTTCTGCAGAAAAGGACCTAGGGGTCACAGTGGACGAGAAGCTGGATATGAGTCAACAGTGTGCTCTTGTTGCCGAGAAGGCTAACGGCATTTTGTATAAGTAGGGGCATTGCCAGCAGATCAAGGAACGTGATCGTTCCCCTTTATTCGACATTGGTGAGGCCTCATCTGGAGTACTGTGCCCAGTTTTGGGCCCCACACTACAAAAAGGATGTGGAAAAATTGGAAAGAGTCCAGCGGAGGGCAACAAAAATGATTAAGGGTCTGGAGCACATAACTTATGAGGGAACTGGGATTGTTTAGTCTCCAGAAGAGAAGAATGAGGGGGGATTTGATAGCTGCTTTCAACTACCTGAAGGGGGGCTTCCAAAGAGGATGGAGCTCAGCTGTTCTCAGTGGTGGCGGATGACAGAACAAGGAGCAATGGTCTCAAGTTGCAGTGGGGGAGGTCTAGGTTGGATATTAGGAAACACTATTTCACTAGGAGGGTGATGAAGCACTGGAATGCGTTACCCAGGGAGGTGGTGGAATCTCCTTCCTTGGAGGTTTTTAAGGCCCGGCTTGACAAAGCCCTGGCTGGGATGATTTAGTTGGGAATTGGTCCCGCTTTGAGCAGGGGGTTGGATTAGATGACCTCCTGAGGTCCCTTCCAACCCTGATATTCTATGATTCTATGTCTCTGCTTACTGTCCACCCCTCTCTGCCCCCACCTTTCCCACTTGCTTGTGGAGAAAAGTAATGGCCCAGTGAAGCCTGCTTTTTAGCCCCGTGACCATGCTTTTAGTCTGGTCAAACCTTGTGTCACTACATGGGTGAGTGAGGGAAGCCCTTAAACCCTCAGCCTGAGACCGTGTCACCATCGAGTCCTTAATAATCAATTGTATATTATGTAATCTGAGAACTACAGTACCTGAATTAAAATCTGATTAAATAGGGCTGAGTTCATGTTCTTTTTTCCCCAAACAGGTTATATTCATTTACAAAAATGAGCCTTCTGAGAATTTCCTGTGTAGTGTGAATCTAATAATGTTGTTATAGAACAACAAAAAATCTGATCAGTTAATTAAACCCCACAATGGGTTCTAACAGGTTTACTCAGTAGATTTTACAGATGAACACCGATTATCTGTAAATAATTAAGTTTAAAGCATTAATTTGTTAGCATTAGATCTGCTAACATTGCAAAGGTCCATTGTTCTTAATGGTCAAGAGAGGTTAATGATTCAGGTAGCCTAGTCAGAGTCAAGCGTTTAGAATTCCTAATTTGAGAGCAACAGCAATTATAAGTGTTATGTTGTCTTCTCCTGTATTTACAATAAGGGAAAATCTAAAATGGATTGCACAATGTATTAGTAAAGTCACCCTTCCATGTTTTAATCTTTTGGGTAATTCGATTTTTAGTGATATGTTTACCAAAAATTTATAGTATGCATAGTTATAATTTAAGGGATAGATTTTGCAGCCACTACTCTGAGGCTAAATTGTGGGATTTCTTGTATAAGTAGTTGCTCACCAGCTTTGTACTTTGCACTTTGTAGTTCTAACTATGCAGTTTGAAACAGAATGATAAATGATCTCTTGCTCCTTACCCTTACATTTTTCAGAAAGAGTTTTCGCAGCTTCACATATTGTTTTCCCCCAAAATACAGACTGTTACAAAACAAGCTAGATGGTAAAGAGGCAAGAAACAAATATGTTATAATGAGTTGAAACAACAGGGGATTGTGCATCATTCAATATTTACTGCAACTGTAGCTTGAAATTCTGTTAGGGACAACATTTGTTTATTCTTGTTAATCATTTATCCTTGTCAAGCTTTACTTTCCACCAGCTTTATGAACAATGAAGAGCAGAATGAGTAATAATGGATCATAATCATAATGATCAAAGCAATCAAATATATATATATATTACTATTCTGACAATCATTCAAAATGGTGTTCCCTTATCACGATCTAGTAATTAGAACAGGGAAACGTTAGTTTTGTTCTGCCTCTGTCACTGACAAACTGTTGTGACCTTGGGCAAGTCTCTTTCTGCCTAATTTTCTCCAGTTCTTATCCACATTTGTAAAACACTTTGAAATCTTGGGGAAAAGGTAATATATGCAGTAAATGCCAGCTAGTGATGGTATTATTATGATTTATTTTATACTTCATCCCTTTAATATATCAGCAGAGACTGATTCAAAGCTTTATGGAAATGGTGCTGTGCTTCAGGATAAGGTTCTGGGGGCAAGAGTGATTTTTACTTTATTCCAACATTTTGACCTCTTCTTTTAAGAAAGAAAGAAAGCAAGAAAGAAAATGTGTACGCAGTAAATTATATCAGTGCAAAATCAACCACTTCCATGATTCAACAGGGGTTTTCTTGCTACTCTGCAAGGGATTATGGGGTATCTCTGCAATCTGTTTAGTAGCAATTCTAAGACTGCAAATTCTTCGGGGCAGGATTTGTCTTTTGTTATCTTTGTACAGCATGTAGCATAATAGGATCCTGATCTATGAGTAGGACTCCTATATACTAACACAATACAAAGAATAGCTAATAATAAACAGGTGGCACAGAGAGTCAGAGTCTCTCCCTGGTCCCACTTTTGTCATTCAGGCATGTTAAAAAAACATTTCCCTGAAAGACAAAAGTTTTGTCGACGACAAGCACTGGTGTGAATAGTGCTTTGTCAGCAGGAGCACTCTCTCCTTCTGACAAACAGTGGCTACACTGCACGCCTTTTAGCGGCACAGCTGTAGTGGCACAGCCGTGTCGCTAAAAGCTGCATAGTGTAGACATAGGCTGTTTCTTTTTCCCCACAAAGACCATTATTGGGTTTGGGAAGACAGTAGCTCCTGTCAGACTTCCTCCAAAGGTATTGATCCCAAAGACCCCACCGAGAAACTCCTGAAGACCTTGTTAAAGAGGCAGTGGAACCTACATGTGTATTGTCATCTCTATCACATGATATATACCCCATTTCCAGGTTGTTTAAAAAGGGAACACTGTACAAGATTTTAAAATCCTATCTACCATTCCAAAGTCAGGTTTTAAAATATTACTCATGTTCCAATTTTCAGCCTCTATTGAATCTTGCAAAGTGAACCTGTCACTGAATGCTAATCCCCTCAATCCTAGAGCATTGTAGAATGTGATGTGACTTTATTTTATGTAGTGTCTTACATACAAACTGTGTCTCAAATAGTTTTACAGAGCTAAATGGTTTAGGAAAGCAGATGGTACATAAAATAATGTAAAACTGATAGAGTCTGTTCTTGAACCACTCTTATTTTGTGTTTGATTATTTACTTATTGTACATTCATTTATTTGTGATTAAAAGGGATAGTTACAGGAAGACATGGAGAATATACAAGTTAATGCTATAAACAGGTACACAGAATGTGCTTGAAATTCTACAGACAAATGATGTATACAGGAAACAAAACAGGGATATTAAGCTTCCATTGTTACATTGGTAGTAGGTAGTTAAGCCGGTATTTGTTGCAATAAATCAGTGTGTAAACAAGTGGTAGATATACAGGAGAACCAGGACTTGATGTGGGTTCTTTATACACGAGCAAGCACTTAAGATGTTTGTTATGGTTATAGTTTGTCATATTTCCCTGGAAAGCAGATTAACTTAATGTTAGTATTTTACTATATTTAACTGTTTGTTTGTTCTTTTATATGCTAGGAATAGTAATCATGCTAAAGCCCATATCGCTATAGCACAGTAAAACAGCAGAAGATGCCAAAGGAAGATGTCTTCAAGGAAAAGAAGGGAAGGTTGGTATGAAAAGATAACTTGCATGTTGTAGTAAGGGAGGACCAAAATCAGTCCTGGTGTAAGTGGGAGCACCTCAGTGGGATGTTAGTGGAATTTGTTGTCATCTTATAACCCCTTATTCAGTTCTTGTCCATGGTCATTAAGTGTTTCCCATGCACCCAGAGGCCTTTATCCCTGACCATAATGTACATTATGGGAGAGGACCTGTCACTGCGCTCTTGAATCAGAGTCATAAGTACAGTATGTTCTAAACAACCTTCCCTCACTTCCTCCTTATAGAGCTCAAAGGTATTTTTACCTCTTTAAGACAGTCTTTAAGAAATTCCCAAACAACACGGGTTGTAGTACAATAAGCTTTATTAAGAACTGATAGAGAACTTCAGATTTAACCCTTTCCCCTCCCCAATATAGTATTAATAACATATCTAGTCTTAAACTCTACAAAATAGTTATAGATGCTTACTAGATCATTGCATTAATTATAGTGCAACAGCACATTCTTACATTTCGAGAGAACACATACTTTCTTTTCAGCTTGTTTCTTTCATACTGTCCCTTTGCCCAGCAATGTTTCTGAGACACAACCTCTGATTGCCTGATAGGTGTAATTCCTCACTAGTATCAAGTGGATTGTGTCATCTTCCCCTGTCCCTTGTCTCCCTGGAATCCCCCAGTTATAACCTTTAGGTTATTTTGATAGGACTCTGCGGATATTTTCCCAGAAAGATATTCACATAGATGTAGTATTCTGAGAGGATATGACAGTCTCCTATGAGAGGTCCATTGCATTTTTCCAAATCCATTCAGGATTGTATTTGTTGCTTTGGATAAACACTTTTGGGTTTGTTTTTTCTGCACCCCTTTTACAGTTTATAGAGTTGTTTTGCCGGTATATCCACACAATAATATCTCTCAGTTCACTTCCACACCTTGACCTGCTAATATACTTACTGATCTTTCACATTTGGTATAAGTGGTGCAAGGTTTGTTTTAAGCAGTATATACTATGCAGACCAAATAATATTATACAGGATCAACTGTAGTTGTCATCAAGTCAACAATAATATAGATCTCAAATATACGTGCATCCGTTTTATAAAAAAATAGTATAAATAGAAATAAACATAACTCTATCTTGATATTTTCATAAAGAATGCATGTTCTGTCCAATTAGGGAGAAAATCTAGCAGAAGTGTTCAATGAAAAATAGATACAAAAAGAGATTTACTTGAAATCTAGATAAAGAATATGTAAAATTTGGCAATATAGTTAACCTATCTGACTTTAGGGTTTGATTCTCAGTTATCCTAAGGCCCCTTTACACCACAGTGTGGAGATAGAGGCAGTACAGAGGTGCCTTAAAGTGGGTGTAAATAGTGAAAATGAAAATAAGGTCCTCTATGTCCAAATCTCCAGAATCCACCAATGAGTTCTAAAGTGATTAATGTCCTACATCCTTTGCAAATATGTCTCTCTGCCAAAATGCAGTTGAACCATGCTGGATAATAGAGTACAGATTTACAATTGTCTAATACATGCTGTCTATCACAGAGATAAACAGGCTAGAGCACAGAGATGTTAATTAATATTCACAGTGTCATAATTTCCTGTCATTCTAAATTGCAGAGCTTACTTTGGGATTTTAGAGAAGGGTAGAACCCTCTTGGTCATCACTCTGTAGCCTTATCATTTGAATTTCATCCTGAGACTCTCCCTTCAGAAATTTGCACTAAAGTTGTCTGTGCCACTTAGAGCTGTACACAGGTACTCTGTGTCTAATGACTTGGAGCTGAGTCAGAGCCACTCAATGTAGAAAAACAAAGTGACTAATCTCATTGTAGAAGTGAGGCTTTGCAGCTTTGTTCTGAGTCATTATGACAAACTCACTGAGTGCCCAAACCTAGTGCAGAAATAAACAGTTAAACACAGCACCCAGTTTCAAAACAAACAGGTCACTCCTGATCCTTATGTCAAAATTACCTTGCTAATTATATTTAACATTAAAGGTGTTGTTGATATATGCAAAAGTTTGAATTTAAAATATTTGGAACACCGAAAAGCTGTGTTCCAGAAGTGAAAGGAGAATGAGGAAGGAGTGAAAGCAAAAAGATTTATGACTCCTGATTATTTTGGTATACACTGAGAAAAACCATGCGCCTATTGGAAAGAACAACCTTTCTAGGCAGGATTGGAATTGCAAGAATGTTATAGCCAAGAATAAGAGACATTGGTATTTTCAGGGGACTTTGTACATCACTTGCTTATTCTGTAGCTGTTCTAGCCAGCCTTATTAGTCCCTGGTTTTCATGAAAACCAAATTCACCTCCAAACCAACCATTACAAGAACAATAGTAATTCTGGTTTATTCTGCAAATCTTTGTCCCACAAATATTTGGTTCTGTCTCCTTATGCTGATACGTAAATATCAGAAACAAGGTGTGCAGGAATCTTTGCTAGAATAAGTTGATCTGTCACCTCTGCCACCCATGAAGTTATAGGGCCAGATCCTCTTGACAGTTGCACTAGTGTAAATGAAGAGTAACTCATCTGAAGTTTACCATTTACAAATGAGATCTGAAGTCAATTGGATTACTCCTGTTTTGGTAAAACAGTAGAATTTGGTCTTCCATATTTTTAATCAAGCATCATAAAATATCATATAGCCATTCTGAAATAGCCATTCCTAGGATGAATTAGCCTATCTGGAAGACAACTTTTGCTAGAGAACAAATATTACAGGACAATAAAGAAATGTCATGTGTAACTATAAATATTTAGATTATGTGTATCTCAATCTATGGATTTAGCACTTTATCAGTTGATAATATCCAGCGTTTTGAAGTAATATTCATCATCATTCAATGAGAAAATATTCTCACCATCACTATTTCTCTCCTTTATTTCTCTTCTTCCCCATCTTCCTTTCTCTTTTTCTTTCCTTCTTCTCACTTTCTGTGTTTTTCCTCCTATCTTTACTCTTCATTTCTTTCTCTGCATCAGTTCCCAGTTCTCAACTCCACATGGGCTTCCCTCTCACCTTTTCCCTAGTCAATCTGCTAAAAATAATCTGCAATGAAGTACTTCAAATATCAATGTTAACTATCATTGTTGCACTTTAGCGATAACACTCCAGCGAAATCAATGAAGACAAAGGGAGTTGACATCACTGAGTATTGTTTCAGGGGGTCTGCAAACTCAAAGACAGTACTGCATCAATTATAATTGGTTTTTGTCTTCACGGTTGTCTTCCCAGACAGCAGGGACTGAAACATACGTTTACTTTAAATGAAAGTTTAGATCCTGTGGCATCTGAACGTGCCATGCGGGATACAAAAATGTATCTAGTGGGTTAGATGTTTGACACCTTTGTGTCAGAGGTTCTGCATCATTTTCACCTGGTGGAAGCCAGGGACACATTTTTCTCAGTGAAAGTCCCATAGCTATAGAACTAACTTCTGCTGAAGATCAAGCTGACGCCAAGTCTTAGCACCTTCCTAGAATGATGTAGGGCTCATCCTTTTTGAGAGATATTTTCAAACAACCGAGTAGGCTTATCTTCTTCCCCTGCAGTTTCTACTGGTAGCGGTGGGGGTAATTTCTGCTCTAAGGTGTTGTATAGTTATGCACTGTGGACTGCATTTAAATTGCTGTTGAATTGTTTCATAGAGCTATTTATCCATCTAATTTATCTATCAACCTTTCGGATGAGAAACATTTATAAAGGCAGAGATAAGGCTGAGATTATAAATTCCTTAAAATAACAATGTCAACAGAATATTACAGTTAAAAGAGAAAATACTTAAAACCTTGCAATTAAGTTTTCAACATCTGCCTTAACTCCATATTCTTATTTATCCTCTTTATACAATAAAAGTAAACGCCTCACATCCATCCACCACCACTACTATCTAATAATATGGGCCACCAGTTCCCTATTATTTTCATCAAATTTCTACATGCTGCTTTGTAATTTGCTACAGAGGAGGTTTAAGGCAGATTCCAAAAGTAAGAAGTCATTACAGATTTGTTTAAAATTAATATTGTTCACATCTTTGGTATATTGTTTACTCTCCTACCTACAGTACATTTGCTTACATGAATACCAATTCTAAGCCAGTTGAGGACTGCATATGTCAGTCAATATATAATGACTGATAGCTAGGGTTATTATGTTTTTCTTCCTTTGTACCTGCTCAGTGGAACAATGAAAACATTAATTTTCCAATCATTACCAGGGTAAATGCCTGATTATGGGATCCATAGGACATTTTGCCTTCCCAGTCTATATTGGTCTGTAAAGCACCATGGTCAGAGGAATTCAACTATTAATTACACAGGTCTCAAAATGTCTATGATCCAATAAAGTTGCATCCACTTTCACTATAAATTGACTGCTTGTTTATGAGCTAGTGTGGGACTCTTTAGGAGAAAGGCCAAAGGGAGCTATAATGTATGTGCTACAAATTACTTGCAGGAAAGGTTAGGTTGTTTGTATGTCCCAGTGCAGATTTAAAGTGATTAGTGCAGTCATTTTACATTATTGTGTGCCATAAATCTGAAGGTTTTACTAGGCAAATAAAAAATGGAACAAGGGGTGCACATTAAAATAATAACACCCTCTGTGAATGTTGTGTCTGCTGCAATCAAAAATACTGTCATTTTTGGAGCATTCAAATGACTCTTGAAGATGCCTTTTGGAAAGACAATGTGGTGTACTGGTTAGAAAGGGTGACTGGGTTCAATTCCTGGTTCTGCCACTATCACTTACCCTCTCTGAGCCTCAATATATACCTTGTTGTGAAATAAGGACAATAATATATACCTATCTGATAGAGTTTTTTCCATTTTAAAACTTTTAAAAGCACTTTGAGATCTTTATATTAAGGTACTATATAAATGCAAGGTGTTTTACATTGGCTGAGTATATTTTATGTGTAGAATATTTAGTTTCACCAATTTTGTGAAATAAGATCTGAAAGAAATTAGCATTAAAACAAAAGCCAGATAATATTCTAAAATTACATCATTTATTCACAATATTGTTAAAATAATTATGCCTTAGATTGATAAGTAAGTGAAGATAATAAAGGAAATTACTGCAGGCTAACAAAGTTTGCATGGACAAAGCTAAAATATATATTTTATTTTGCTGTGTTATGATACATTAGCAGGCTGTTAAATTTGGTGATTTAATTGCTTATAAGAAAAATGGTATGGGCTCCTATTGAACATGTACTCAGCTATATATTCTTTAAAAACAGCAAGGGATAAAGGAAAATGAAATACAGTCTTTACTTAATTCACTCCCTTTTTACTTTGCTAGGAATGTGATGGAGGAAACCTGTCAATCAAGAAGGGAATGCTTTAGGGTGAGTGGACAGAGAAAAAAGGATCTGCTAATTCAGGTCTCACTGCCATACCCAGCTGGAGGGTGCACTCTCTAAGACCTGTTCCTGCAACTAGATCTATGCTCATAGGCCCCTGTGCTTATGCACAGCCCACTAAAGGAGCCCTTCCATGTCCTCATTCAAGAAATAAACAAGAACTATGATTTATTAATGATAATAATAGACACAATTCCTTAGAATATGAAGGAATTTGATGTGTTGGTGGGATAAACAGTAAAAGGAAAACCTCTTGTTAAACAAATATTAGGTAAATGTGCCTGATTATTTGTCATATTGCAAATACAAAAAATACCTTTTCTTTTCACATATTTAATTGATAATATCCTGCTTCCTGCACCTAAAAGTGCAATTCATTTTAAAATAATCATGTAGAGTTTGTATTAATTGGCTGAACTGATGCTGCATAGCACAAGTGCTGCTATTTTGGGAATGGGAGCAGGCTGGAAGGACTTCAGGGTGGAGCCAGGGGCCTGTCAATATTTATTTCTTTTCCCCCATAGGCTGCTTTAAAGAGAAGCTGGTGCTACTGTATTTTCAAAGGTAAAAACAGCAAGCAACCTTGTATAAAAATCTGTCTACAATATTTGAGAGAATATGTTTCTATTCCCTCCCTCCACCCCTAAGCCAGATTCTGTTCTCACACTGTAAATCTAGAATAAATTCATTGAAGTCAATGGGACCATTCAGTAAGTCAATCAAGGCGGCATTCAAATTGATGCTAGTGTATTCTGAATTAATTTAATAATTTATGCATGTTGGAATATAGTACTTTACACCATATTTTATCACTCTTATCCCAAGATCTGGGCTTTTGTAACATGTACACACTCATGCTGACTCTTCCTTGGTATCAGGGCAAGGCTCTTCAGCTACATTTTAAAAGTGGTTTGTTAATTCATGTTACCGGAAATATCTCTCACTAAGTATCAAGTTTCACACATTGGCACTGTTGTGGATATTAAGGCAGTGGTAGCCAATGATATCTGAAACTGCAAAGTTAAAACTCACATAATGGTCTGCTCAGTCAGTGTACAGAAACTGGTAAAATAATTCTTTATCTGTCTCTAGGGTGACCAGACAGCAAGTATGAAAAATCGGGACAGGGCATGGGGGGTAATAGGAGCCTATATAAGAAAAAGACCC